AAATAAAAATTAGAAGGTACATCGAAAGTATTTTCAAAATATCAGTCGATGATTAAGAAGTTTTTTTTTTTTTTTTTTTTTTTTGTATAAAACGTTGTATGAAACGTGATAAGTGAAGCAGAGTTATATATATAATGTCAAATTTTGAAACGTGGTAAAAAAACAAGAAATATCAAAGACAAACAACAAGCAAGTATGTATAGAACAAGAGGAGGATTTGCAATTCATAGTGTTAAAAATATCTATTAGTCCCTTGTCGGTGAAACCGGAGGGGACTAGAGGTTTCCTCTGAGTCCGTCCGTCCATCTGTATCTTACAGTTGATTTTCCAAACTTTTTTCATTAACGCCTGCAGATATTGAGCTGTTTTTGGTATGTAAATATATCTTGATGAGTTTACAGATCAAGATTTAATTCCAAAAGTTTGAAGTCAACAACATTATACATATAATATTTTTACATTCTTAATGTTTGGAAAAAGCTTTCACTAAATTACATAGACGTTATAAAGTAAATGTTCTAGTGAAGCCATAAATGCTTAACAAATTCATTATTTCCCCAAAAAAATCCACAAAATATTATTTTTGCTGCATTCTTCAATTTAGCTTATTTTGGTTTATTGAGGGTAATCGAAGTTCTGTGCATTCAACTCCCTGAATTACATTTTGTTTCAACAGATCATCTCACTGTTAAAATTCAAAAGTCCAGAACTGATCAGGTAGGTCTCCCAACTTTAGTCAAATTAACCAATCATTCTGACTATAAGATCCGCCCTATTTATCAGGTTAGAGAATATATCAAATCTAAGTCAAGCAACTGCAACTTGCTGCTTCTTCATGTGAACAGCAAACCCATCACACGTTTTCAATGTCAATCAGTTTTGCAAAAAGCACTTAATTTCTTGCAGGACTCCCTACTTCAAGACACAGTCCCACATACACAGACTCTGATAGTCGTGGTATGTGATCCATTGAAAGGCTATTTACTAAATAACTAAATAGCATAAACTTAAAAAAGAATAATGTTATTTTTTTTAAATTCCAATCTTAATTTTTTTTAATTCCCCTTTTTCGATTTGACGAGAACAAATTCAAGAAAAAAAAAATCACACACTGATAAATTTCTCAATTAGAAATTTAAAACGACTTTCTTAACCTTGCTTTGATTTAAAAAAAATGAACAAATCGTTACTACTAGGGAGTTTCATCTAAACAATTACAGGAACATGAAACTGATAATATACAGGACTGACTGACGAACGGGAATATAATGTTTACCTCAAAGTCAAATCACATCGATGAAGCATGTGGAGAAGGATATGGAGATAACGAACATAATTCAGTCTCAAAGTCCAAAACAATACAAAATAAGAGCAGAGTAAACAGGGACCCCCAAAACATCAGAGGTTGGATCAGGTGCCATGGAGGAGTGAGCATCCCCTGCCGACCGGTCACACCCGCCGTGTGCTCCTTGTCATGATCAGGAAACAACAGAAAAAAACATCTGTCGTCAATTCAGTGTATGAATGATGGACTAACGATTGGTATGAAAAACGTCAGTCAGCATTTGACTTAATTATAAATTGAATTTGCTGACAAGGTCATTGTATTGACCATAGAACTTACGAAATGATGACTTCAAACGAGACTGCTGATATTCTTGTTCCATAAACTTGCTTGTCAATAATTTACCTCGTTTCAGAAATTGTTCATACGTAGAGAATACTCTTGCGTATCGAATCAACCGAGATATATAAACGCTATATGCAGCTGATGAAGGTATATTGCTGCAAAAGTAAGGGGAGTTGACGATAAAGAAGTTAAAATCATCACATTTATCATATAGCTTGGTTGTTAATTACCATTAGTGTCTTTTTCAAGTATAAAATATCCAAGTATGAAACAGAAGTGTCGGACTCTGTGGTATCTTTTATCTCAAGCTTACCAGGATATATCGTATCGACGTAGGAATGGAAATTACCATTATTAATTGACAATACGTCGTCGATATATCTAAATGTCGAACTGAAGGCCAAGGCAAAAGGTTTCTTCTTTTCACACATAAGAATTTGCATAAATTTTGCTTTATATGCATATTTAAAAAAAAGTCTGCTAATAACGGAGCGCAATTTGTACCCATGGAAATTCCAATAGATTCTTGGAATGCCTGGTCTCCAAAAACCACATAGATACTTTCAATCAGAAACTCAAGCATCTTCTTGATGTCAATTTCAGAGTACTTATGTAGAAATCAGAATCTGTTTTAACTGAATAATTTTATAATTTTGCAATGACCAATGACGATGTAATTAAATTCACGAGTCCCATTTTTATATAAGAAGCAGCTGTCTATGATTTCAAAAAGCCTGGATTTTAATTGGTCGTGAAAATATCTTTTTTTATAAAGTTGAAAAGTCGTAAGTTTTTAAGTGGATGAAGGACCTTTAGCTGAAAAAATACCTGTCAATCAATTTTTTTCATATATTGTATATCTGATATTTAGTATGTTCCACATACCTCAAAGCAGATATATCAATAGGTTTCTAGATTTATTCCTGAGATATTGAGTGACAAATACTATGCCCACAATGTCTGAGTGAAGTTTTGATTCTCCGTATTTCTGGGCCCATTACTGGGTCCATAATGGATATTTTTTCATCATATATAAAAAATTATGTCAGCGAACATTTGTCTTTAGAATATTTCAGAGTATAAATAGGGTTAAAAATTCGAAAAATCAAGATTCGTTTGTTACACCGCATCTGCAGACGGAAAATTAAGTTCTTTTTAATACAACTTAAACGACCAAAAAAAATTAATTTACAAAAAAACTTATCATTCAACATTTGAAAAATTACGTCGAAATGGAAGTTTGTCATGTTATTGATTAACTGCAAAAATATTGATTGGTGAAGCTGAGCTCAATATTGCACAGGGTATACTTAAACAAGACATTAGCATGAGAAAAACGTGTCATGTTTACATTTCTCGAATACGGGAAAACCCTACTATGACGTCACACATTTGCGAAATAAGCTAAGTAAGACATAACTACAATATATTTCCGTCAACAACCATGTAAAATATTTTTTGTGTTCTGTAATTCATAAAATATCCCACCATGTACTGATCCTGACCCATTTTTATGATATTATACTACTTGTGTTTTACCTTGTATATAATCTTACTGTTCTGAGATCCACTATGACGTCAGAGACTCGTTGGACGCACAGTGTAGAGAAACAGAAGAGTGGATCAATCTATTCCGTAATTTGAAAATATTTGCAAGAAAGTTTGAATGTTTTTTGATATTTTTATACAAGATGGTGAACTCAAACAGTCATTTTTTCCACAAATACTGCGGTTTCAATCTACTTTTGTACATATTCTTTAAGAGATTATGACGTAATTAAACTGAGTCACGTGACCATACAAACATCCTTCGTCCGCTTAAACTGTTGATTTTTGTAAAGTCTTGCGATTTCAAATTGTCCAAATGTTCTTTAGAATTTTGTAGTATCCACATCTGATTCACAACACTTCGATAACGAGATAACGAACAGTAGACTCCGCTTAGGTGTCGCCGGTAAAACCAAGTTTGCGATCGTTAAATCAGAATTAACGGTCGCAAATACAAAATTAGAAGATTGTTACTCCCTAATTTAGTGCTCTATTAATTAAATGTCTTAAAATACTTAAAATTTATAATAAAAATCTCCTTGCAAGCAAATGACCAATGATGAGGTAAGTAAATGTACGAGTTCCATTTTCATTTAAGAAGCAACTGTCTATGATATCAAAAAAGCCTGGATTTTAATTTGTTGTGGGAAATTGTCGTGTACAAAGTTGAAAGTCGTAAGTTTTTTAAACTGTTGATTGTTTTTTTTTTAAAGTCTTGCGATTCAAATTGTCCAAATGTTCTTTAGAATTTTGTGGTATCCACGTCTGATTCACAACAATTCGATTACGAGATAACGAACACTAGACTCCGCTTATGTGTCGCCGGTAAAACCAAGTTTGCGACCGTTAAATCAGAATTTAAGGTCGCAAATAGCAAATTAGAAGATTGTTAATCCCTACTTTAATGCTTTTTTAATTAAATGTCGTAAAACACTTAAAACATTTATAGTAAAAATCTCTTGCAAGCAACGAGTTTGTCTTCCATTTATTTTATCTATGAAATAAGATCTAATTTTGTCTTTTAATATTATATGTTCTGAAGTTACAGGTTTTTTTTAGTTGAGACGTTTACACCAAGGTGTAATGTACAGTCAAATTTGACACGTTAAAACATAATTTTTAATGGTCATGAACACCTTCATATTAAGCCCTTTAATATTACAAGGCGATGTCCCGTGTGAGTATGAATAAATTTGGCAAGAGAAAAATCTATCAAACTAAAAAGTTCTTACTGGGAAAGATATGATCAAGTATCCAATTGTTCTTTCAGGAAGAGGCTAAGTCAGAAACTAATTTAATGTCATTATTTTTATACACAGTATTTTTTGTCAGTTTCCTGTTAAATGGATCGTAAAAATCGTATTTTTTGCTCTACTGGTCAGAGACCAGTTGATATTTATTGATATTTATTGAAATTTTATATCAAAATATATTTATTACAAAAGTACTACGGGGTACTGTCACATACTTTCAGTGATTGATTTAAAATTAATTAGGGAAGAAAATCATTATGCAAATATTAATTGTCAATATTTCACAAATATTACATGTTTTTAACTTTCAATAAAGGCAGTATATTTACATGAATTTAGATGAGCCTTGTAAAAAGAACGAAATTAATTTGCCTGAATTTGCTTTTCCTGGATATTTTAATACAAAGAGTAAACATCATTTCACATTAGTTAAGCATTTAATAAAAATAATAATAGTCTTTGCTACTTAATCTTTTTATAAACACTGTCGCTAATTTCTCATTTTATTTATTATTTTTTTTTTACAAATAAAAAATCTATTTATTTATATAGAGAAAATTCAACAACACTAAAATTAACTATTATTTATTTGTATGTGGCGAGTACTGTCGTGGCAATAATATTCGTGGGTCGCCGAGCAAATCAAAACAACATTGGCAGACCCACTTCAGCATCAGCAACAAATCAATCAATCAGTTCAGCAATGATATAAAATGTACCATCCCGGGCAATCCGCGGACAGTTAATTAATTAATCATTCCTGTATATACAACTTACATAATCATTTCAATACAAAATGCAGTTTTCATTTCAATACAAAATGCAGTTTTCATTTCAATACCAATTGCAGTTTTCATTTCAATACCAAATGCAGTTTTCATTTCAATACCAAATGCAGTTTTTATAAGTCACAAAGCAATGCAGTTCCCATCAGCACAAAATATTGACTCAAATGTTAATCAGTATTCAACTCATTTCACATTAATGAAACTTTATATAAATATCAGTTGACTTTAGTGTGCGCAAACGTGCGCCTATGCCACGACGCTCCAGGATTGATCTTTTCCTCTTTAGGACTCCTTGCCTCTCGATACTCATCTTGATTGCACCAGTCCATGTATATCAATCCAGGCTACGACCATATGACCTACAATTTAAATCAACAGAGCAGTATCTTTGGCCCAAACAAATAAATTTTAAAATAACAGTACATAATCGTCATCAGCTGATCTCGAATAACACAACATATCTTATCCTAAACTCTTCATACACCTAGAATGAGTTTACATCTTTTAAAATGGGATGGGAGGGTGGGCAATAATAAGTTTTTACCAGTCAATTTGTTGTATTTTTACCAATTTATCACTGTTTATTCTCTCGATGGACTTTTGCCTGTTTCCTGCACAGCAACCGGATATAAGAGGGAGCTCGAACCCGATGTTAATAATGGAATCCCTATACCATTCATTGAACCCGATTTCTTTTCTCATAAAATAAGTGCATCTATTTTTGATAATCAAATAGATGTTATTATTTATATAGAGAAAATTCAACAACACTAAAATTAACTATTATTTATTTGTATGTGGCGAGTACTGTCGTGGCAATAATATTCGTGGGTCGCCGAGCAAATCAAAACAACATTGGCAGACCCACTTCAGCATCAGCAACAAATCAATCAACAAATCAATCAATCAGTTCAGCAATGATATAAAAAGTACCATCCCGGGCAATCCGCGGACAGTTAATTAATTAATCATTCCTGTATATACAACTTACATAATCATTTCAATACAAAATGCAGTTTTCATTTCAATACAAATTGCAGTTTTCATTTCAATACCAAATGCAGTTTTCATTTCAATACCAAATGCAGTTTTCATTTCAATACCAAATGCAGTTTTTATAAGTCACAAAGCAATGCAGTTCCCATCAGCACAAAATATTGACTCAAATGTTAATCAGTATTCAACTCATTTCACATTAATAAAACTTTATATAAATATCAGTTGACTTTAGTGTGCGCAAACGCCAAATGGCTGCAAACGAGTAAACGTTTGCAGTCACCCCACAAGGGAGCACCAAGTCAACTGACCCACGACAATACTCAAGCCCCCTAGTTATTTCCTTCTGGATAGACTGTTCCTAATTTTAGAATAAAGTATTCCAGCCCCCCCTGAATTGTGTTAAGCAATACTGAATTACCCATGTCAGTGAGGTGAACACCGTCTTTCAACAAAAAGAGGGATATATCGCGAAGGAGTTCTGGATATTTTATATAGCAACCCCCCAAACTAAGGACATGTTTAGCAATTGCTCTATTAAAGCGAACTCGGGTTCTTTCCATTGCTTCATGATTCTGAGAGTACCTCCACTCTAACCTAGAAAGGACCTGAGACCATATGAATTTAGAATTGGGGAAGTGATGTACCAATGCTTTCAAGTCATTTTTTGTTTCATGGATAAGTTTACACACATTTTTATCTTTCCTACCTAAATCATTTCCTCCACAATGAATCAAAATAAACTGTGGTGGCAATTCTACTCGCTTCAGACAAAACAGTTTCATTTTCAAGTCAACAATCTTTAATCCAGAGTACCCTTGCCACCATATTCTCTGTCCTATTCTCTCTAGTCCTAGATTTAATCCCCCTGGTCGATTGCGTGCAGCCACAAATGCCCTCCGTATAATTGAGGAGCCTACACACCAAACTTGATATCTTTCTGTAATACTTAGCAAGATTAAAAAAGTGTTGATTCAAATTTTAGAGAGAATTAACCTTTTGTATTTACTATCTTAATATGGCATAACAAACAATTCAAAATATACAACATGTACAACTTAAGTTAATGCTTTTCATGGTTTGCACCCAAATAAAGCTTTTAGAATAGTTTAACGAGTGGGCAACGGATGTATGACTTGTACACTTGAGATTTCCATCTACCTGCCTCCCTTATTATCTCAGAAGAACAACCCAATTCATGTGCAGCAGTGGCTGCCCCTATTCTAAAGGAATGAGCTTTAAATTTCCCCCCAACTCCTATAACTTTTAAGGCTTTTTCCAGAATTGCAGTAAACTGATATCGTGTGATAGGCTTCCCCCCAAAATGACAAAACAATGGCCCCATGATTTTGGGTCTACCAGACAAGTATTTAGTCATGCATCCCACAGGACAAATATTGCTGCCCACTTTTTGTATTTGTATTGTCACACCTTTCCCATGTTGGTCTGATTTTGATCGGTGGATATTCAAAAATAATGTTCTCTGATCGGATTCAATTTTGATATCAGAAACCTGAATAATACTATGTACATCATTTCCTGTTGATAGAGCAAATTCTCCCACCCGTAAAAATCCAAAAAAGGCTAATGTAAATGCAGCACTAAAAAGGTTTGATTCGTATGTATTATAGCATATTGCGGGTACCACTTGCACAATTTTTGATAATAATGTGGGCGTAATGGGTAATCTTGTGTCAAGAGGGCTCTTTATCCTTTTCATACCTTCTAAAAGCTTCATTACAATGAAATTTTTTGTTTCATCCTGAATATTCTTCAACTTGCACTGAAAGCTGATAGCAGCAACATATGACCTAGCTGTTGAATATGATTTGCCTGAACAGGACAAGAATGCCACAAATTGTACTATATGATTTAATGGTGGTGGCCAGATTTGTTTATAATTAAAAGAGCAACGAAACTTTTGAAAAGAATCTAATCCAGTACTGTAAGACAATTTAGTGTTTGTGGACAAGGATGCTTCCAGTAATTTTTCTACTTCAAGCTGTAGATCATTCTCACAAATTCCTCGGGTATGTTTTGTGGCGTCTCTTTTGCATTTGGTGCCAGGTCTCTGAAATGCCTCCACTGTTTACGAGAAATTGCATCTGCTATACTGTTAAATACACCTGGTATATGCTTAGCTTTAAAAATAACATTGTAATTCATTAATTTTAAAACAAAATATCTGACTAATTCCATTGTTCTTTTTGATTTGGAGGTTTGCTTGTTAATAACACTGACCAGTCCAATGTTATCAATGTGAAATAAAACTTTTTTGTTTTGAAGGCAACTTCCCCAAATTTCTATTGATAATACCACAGGGACTAATTCTAAAAAAGTGATATCTCTCATTATATCTTGATCTTTCCATTCCCCAGGCCATGCCAAAAATGTCCAGCTACCTTTAAAGTATGCACCACAACCTAACTTATTAGCACCTGCACTATCCGTAAAAAATTCTAAGACATTGGAATTTGTCCACTCTGACTCGGGAAAATATGATACCCCGTTAAATTTTTGCAAGAATTTTAACCACATTTCCAAGTCGCTTCTCATTCCTATTGATATTCTAATATAGTGATGAGGTTTGGAAGCACCACTCATTGCATCATAAAACCTTCTATTAAATGCCCTGCTTGACCTAATTGCTTTACCAAAAAAATTAAGCATCCCTACCAACGACTGTAAATCTCGCAGGGTAACCTTCTTTTTTCCTAACATGTCCTTTATCATATCTGTCAACATGACAACTTTTGGCTGAGGTATTCTTATTACCATTTCAATAGTGTCAATTTCTAATCCTAAATACGTGATATTTGTAGTAGGGCCTGCAGTTTTATCCTCAGCCAATGGGACACCAATATCTGTTGTAACACTTTTGAAATTTTCCATAAGGCGACTACATTCTGAGGTTCCCCCTTTCCCAGCAAAAATAAAGTCATCTAAATAGTGATCTAAAGTTTCTAAACCAGTTCGAAATTCTGGTAACCAATGAAGGAATGTGGCAAATGTCTCCCATATTTTACAACTTATAGCACAGCCCATTGGTAAACATTTGTCTATATAATAAAGCCCATCTTCCGAGAACCCTAGCAAATCAAAATCCCCTGGATATATTGGTATTAATCTAAACGCACTCTTAACGTCAACTTTCCCCAAAAGAGCCCCTTTCCCTAACACAGAAATCATGTCTACCACTTTGTCAAATGAAGAATAATTTACTGTACATAGTTCTGGATCAATGTAATCATTTATGCTATTTGATTCGGGGTATGACAAATGCGTAATCATTCTCCAACCTCCATCCGATTTTGGAATAATACCAACTGGTGACAAATGAAGATTTGATATGGGAAGTTCACTAAAGGGTCCTACCACCCTACCTAACTCTATTTCCTTTTGTATTTTCTCCATTAACTCATCATGGTAATGCTGTGCTGATATTAAGTTTTTCTAGGACACATGAACCATTTAAAAATCCATCCTTTAAAAATTGGGCTTTACCATGGTCTGGGTAATCATTTAAATGTTTTGAGAGTTGTTCCACTTTAATAGGTGTTTTTCCTAGGTCCCATATTTTTCTGAGGTCTATACTGTTGGGGCCTTGTACTACTGACCCCTGGGACTCGAAAGGGAGGTTGAAATCTGGGTACTCCCGGGGCGAAGGACTTGGCACTATTCTGGTTATAACTGGGAAACCCTTCCCCTTTGAATGATTGATATTGACCTGAGCTTGTTTGTTTCAAGGGACAAGAAGAGATGGGGTGACCATTGTTGCATTTAATACACGTGTGTAGATACCCACAACCCTGTTTGTTACAGAAGCCCCTGTAGTTAAAGTTGAAACATTTGTTGTGCGTTATTTGCCCAGGTGAAGATTGGGTTGAGACAGCCTGTGGCGATGGGGCATGCATAAACATAAGCCATAGTTCATGATCTATCCCTGCCCAGGAAATTGATGGATCAACACTTCGTCTTAATCTGAATTGTTCATCATATTTCTTCCACCCCATCCCTCTTGTAGCCCCTAACCTTATATCGTGCATGTATTTAAAGAGACCCTGTACTTCATCTTGATGGGCTGAAGCATAAATGCTACTATAAATCAAAAACGCGTCAGTCCATTTTTCTATTGTGTTAATATTGATTTTAGCTTTTGAACTTTCTTTAGTAACAAGTTCTCCATTTTCATTGAAGTAAATTCTTTTCTCAGCTGTTTCAGTCATGGATGTATTATCTAATAGTAAACTTATATCAACATACTTAGAATTGACAATTTTTTCTTTGATTTTCTGAGAAACATTGGACGACAACAAAGTATTGACCGAATCAATCATGCATGGTGCTTCATAATCAAGCACCCCATTGTCACCAAGACTACCTGATGTTTCTGTTGTACTAGTAAGGCCATCCTGCTGACTAGTTGTTGGGATATTTTGTGGTTCAGCCGGGGGCAAATCTCTGGGCTTTTCCTTAGTAGCTGTGCGCTTTCTTTTCGAAGTACTTCTGGCTGAAGTCTGTGCATTGGTGGATACATCTCCACCTGCTGTCTGTCCTCTAGGCCTAGCATCCCGAGGGGGGGTCTCCGACCTTGGGTTCCCTTCAGTGGCAGCAACCCTCAGTGTTGGATTTCGTTTTCTTTTTGGCATTTCTCATGCAAAATAAAAGCTTCACCAATTTATCACCAATTTTAATATATATATATATATATATATATATATATATATATATATATATATATATATATATATATATATATATATATATATATATATATATATGTATTACCGCTTAAAATTATTTCCAAGATTACAAAAACAATAAATTTCCTGAATTCTTGAACAGCTAAAGTGAGCTTTATTTTTTATAAATCTCCCATGTGCTTATGCTGCAGACGACAATCCAAGGTCATCGTGCATTTAATTATAAATTATTTTCCACTGATGTTAATCTTGTATAAAATGTTATCTGAAATTACAAAATCAATTACAATAATAAGTTTTTACCAGTCAATTTGTTGTATTTTTACCAATTTATCACTGTTTATTCTCTCGATGGATCTTTGCCTGTTTCCTGTTCAGCAACCGGATATAAGAGGGAGCTCGAACCCGATGTTAATAATGGAATCCCTATACCATTCATTGAACCCGACTTCTTTTCTCATAAAATAAATGCATCTATTTTTGATAATCAAATAGATGTTATTATTGCTTAATTCTAAATTAAAAATGTCCTATTTCTATCAAGGAAGACCTTTGTTCACCAATTAATTTCCTTATAATATATTTTTACTATTTCATTCCATGTACTATTGTTATAACACAGACCTGAGAACGTCTTTATAATTCCTCGTATTGCGGAAGTCATGATTTTATATCAATACCTTTTAAAAACGGATGTTTTGGAGCGCGCTGACATAGGTTTCCTCTTAGCGACTAATATAGACATTACTCAGAAGGCAAACCTATTTCAAAATGTAAATATGAATCATGAAAATATTGATTTTGTTTTATTTTTGTCTCACAATAAATGTAGGATATGTATGCATTAAATTATGATGTTCACATAATTAAAAAAGCCACTTATCTCATAATGCATTTTATTCCCGTCTTCGTTGAAATATTATCCTATCCTTTCATGAATAAAAATAAACTACCTTGTGACAGCAGCATAATAGAAGTGCACTTGCTTCGTGACCCAAAGGTTTAGTTCGTTTCTCGTTACCGGACTAAAACCCCAAGACTTTTCTCTTGCCAAATTCCTCAGCGGGAAAAAGTTTTAAATCAAAAACAAAGTGATCAAATATGAGGATAACGGACAGTCTTCAACCTCAGAAGTCTATATAAACAATATAAATCAGGAACAGAGAAAACACTGACCTCTAAAACATCAGAGGGCCTTTTCTTACAAAAAACAGCTTACGACCAGGCGTAACCATAGTCCTGAATTAATAAGTCAGGCTTAGTTGAGTTGCACGAAGAAGGCGGAGAAACTTAGGCAAGACGAAAATTTGGGTTTAAAGAAAAAGGCACAGAAAGTCAAGACTAAAATTTGGCTAAATTTACGCCAACTTATGAATATGCTTAAGTTTTTAATCTATACACATGAACTTTTTTGTGTTTTGGTCATTTAGAATGAATTGATATAAATATTTTATACATATACGTTGATCCTATTCAAATTAAAATATAATTTGCAAAAATTATGAAAAAAAGGAATTAAGAAGTACATCGGAAAGTATTTACAAAATATCAATCCATGATGTAGAAGAATTAAAAAAAAATCAAAAAAAATCAGAGACAAACAACAAACAAGTATGTATAGTAAATGTATAAGAGGAGGAGTTTATAACCCTCCCTGATAGTCTTTCCTGTTATATTGTGTAGTTTGGACTTATTTTCACCTTTACATGTAGTACTATTTGTATGCAGTTATGGCCTAAGAATTTGCAATTTATATCATATAACTATGTTACCCATTTTTTTTAAAATCAAAATGCTTTGTTATCACGGAGTACGATACACAAACATTGTAACGTCAAAACCATCGTCGAGAAAGTTGCTCAAAAGTACTCTGCTTTTTAATTTTATACACTGTCTGTAGCGTCTACTCCATTCATTAAAACAAATCCATAATATTTGACACCTAGTTTATAACAATTGTGCAAATAATTTGAATAAGATCATCCGCCCTTTCAAATTCTTTACCGCGTAACTCTATAAGTTCCGCAAAAGTGAGTCATATGACAATATAACATTTTTGAATAAGTTTTCCCATTATATCACAAATATAACATTTTTATCCATATGCCCTGAAAAACTGCCGAATCACGCCGGATACAGTTATGTTCCCCGGAAACAGTTATGTTGCCCTCCCGAACACAGTTATGTTCCCTCGCGTGCAATCATTCCGCATATTAATTACGTCGGGTTCGAAATTCACAGAGGCAGTTGCTAAGCAAACGTAAACAGTTCCGCGAAAGTTAAAAAGTCGAGACAACGTCTGTGATTTGTTTATTTGAATTCAGAGGAATAAGATAATTTAATTGAGGAGAAAAATTCTTTTAATACAACAAAGGTTATCAACACAAGTGTCAGCATACTGAAAACATTCTGCCGTGAGACAAGACGGGATATTTCGGAATTATACTCAATGTACATATACATGTGTACATATGTGTTCAATAAATATGTTCGATGATCGATTTGGGTTCAATGCTTAAAAATGTTATATACCATATATAACATGGCTTAATTCTCGGGCAGCAATACCAGAATATTTGCCCCTCGGTGACAGGAAAGCCCTGGAGTGTTATGTCGCCCTCTGCCTGCGGCATCGGGCTACATAACACTCCAGGGATTTCCTGTCACCTTGGGGCAAATATTCTGGTATGCTGCCCTCGAAGCCATGTAATATATGTATAACATTTTTAACTATAGCCTATTCTTTGCAGACTATCCGTCTTCCGATTCTTACTTTCTACTACTCAAAAATTGTACTTTCCATTTTATACAAATACATTTCCTAGTTTAAGCAGAATTTTAAAGATTGTTTTTAAAAAAAATTATTGGTACTCGCTGCTCCGTGCTCCAACGTCATAATTTCTTTTCTTTTTTTAATAAAATAAAATCCATTTGTATTTAGAAATTGATATCTTTTGAACGGTGCAATATATATTTCATTATTTTCACCAATTTTGCATTATTGTTCAAGCAGGGCTTAACGTCTGATGTTCCCTCACGGGGGTAAAATGTTTTGTTATAGACAAGTGCTGAGTATAATTGTACAACTTTACTTAATATTATTAAAATTGAGATCATTTTGCAAAGCTCCAATTATACATGTTAACACAATAGTTGCTTGCTAAGTTCTGTATTTTAGGGCAGGACTGGTTTGCACCTAAATATATGATTGCTTGATTGATTGTGTGCTGTTTTGCGTCCCGGTCACCATATAGAGACGTAACCATATTCTCTTGCAGGGCATCAAATTTTAACCTTTAATCGGCACATACGGCCATTGAACAGTTAGGAATCTTCATCGATTCAACACTTGCCTTGCCACGGGACCTCGGTTTTTTGAGAAGGACCCGCAACTTTTACTTCAAAGTACCGAGAGCATGGCGAAGGAACAGCTGCTACGCATTTTGTATCGACTTCAGTCAGTCCAGGTGAATATTCGAACCTATGACCTCCCGATCACGGAGCGATCATCCAACCAATTCTGCTACCTTGAATGGTCCCAAAATATATATTGACTCATTGTTTAATAAACAATCTCTTTTTCTCTTTTGTATGTATTAGTTAACGCAACATAGTCAACGTTTTGAAATAAATATTTCCTACCAGGTGTTAACAAAAACAGCTTAAGGTTTCACTTTATTCAGAAAGTACTGACCTTTAACCAAAAAACTCGGGTTGGTTTAAGTATTAGTCTCAATAATCATTTTATATGACTGTCGACCGTCCTCAAGGTGAATGTTTGGCAATATGGCCAACACATTGCGCTTTCCTACAGTTTTATGTATATTAAAATGATTAATTAGGGAAATTAATTTCTATAATGTTTTCCTTTTGAAGTAAGAGCAGTGACCCTGTAAAAATGACGCAAGATTAATAGAATCATTCATTACTACGAGTGTGGGATAGTGAAATTCCACCGAGGGGACAAGATTCACAGTCTAGGACGAGGCTTTGCCGAGTCCTAGACCGTGAATCTTGGCCCCAAGGTGGAATTTCACTATTCCCACACGAGTATGTAATGAATGATTATTTTTCTCGCATTATTTTATCCAAAATATCGGCCTGTCAATGACGTCGCCATGATAGGGCTAAAATATTTTTTTTAATTTTCCATCTAATTAAAAATCTAAATACACCATCAGAGAGAGCGTACCTGAAAATGGTTTACACGTAGTGTAAACTGATAAAATAAATTAAAGTCCGTGTAAATTAATTAGATAGATAAAAACTGGGAATAAAAAACTTATCCATCCGAGAGCGTAAAAGAAGAATCATTCCGCGATCAAAAAATAGTGCCATTTAAAAAGTGAAAATACGACAATATTTTGAATGAAAATAAGTTGATATTAATAAAGTAAATGACAACATTTTAAGTATTTGTAATATTTTTTAACATTGTTACAATGGCCGGTAACATACTATGATGTTTCGTAATCTCTAGCTAGGCTTATGTATACAAAAAGGGAAAGAACGTCAGCTTACATGGGTCAATCCGAAAACAAAAGAAAAGTTCCTTACTTCAATAAAATATCAGATAGACCGTGGAAAACATTTGGAATAATTCAGCGATAATTATTCATTAACAACACGCACCCGAGCCACAACGCTCTGTTACAATGCAGTATGAACCAGAAGTCTGTCTCGAGACTGTAGCTCTACTGGTTTATACTTAAAACAAAGGAAGAGAAAAGGAGCAGTTGCGACTTAGAACTTTAAAACAGTATAGTATTTCTCCTCGACTACATTCCTGCTGTGATGGCTGATAAACAGGAGGAAACACTATGAGAATAAATTCCGTACTTTTATTGGCTAACCGCCGCCTAATGTAATCAATATGACAATCACTTACAGATACAGGTCTGAACAGAATAGCATACAAATCAAGAGCGAGCGAGTGTGCTACGTCACACTCGCATCAGAAGAGAAACACGTGACCGGAGGTTACAGGGCAATTCGTCCCCTGCACCTCCAGGACCATTACAACAGCAATAAATAGAAAAATGATCCTTCCCACTCATCAAATCAAAACTCGATGCAGAGAATTATGTATCTGAGTATAGTCTACTTTGGGCCAAGTTATATTGAAATCAGGCCAAAACTATAGGAGGAGTAGCATTTAAAAGAATTTCACAGAAATTTCTATTTTTAGTAACTACGGAAAAACCGTTCATCGAAATCAAAAACCGATGCACAGAATTACGTATCTTAGTGTAGCTTACTTGTGTGCCAAGTTATATTGGAATCAGACCAAAACTGTAGGAGGAATAGTATTTTGAAAGAATTTCAAACAAATTTCTTATTTTAGTAACCTTGGCAACACCGTTCATCGAAATCGATAATCGATACACAGCATTATGAATCTTAGTGTAGTCTACTTGTGTACCAAGTTATATTGAAATCGGACAGAAACTGTAGGAGGAGAAGCATTTTGAAAAAATGTTTACAGATAGACGGACAGACAGATAGATGGACGGACGCCTGAC